GCATGGTTGGTTTAGTGTTTTTGATATTGTGAATAATGCTGCAATAAACATGTGTGCTCAGGTATCTTTTTTATAGAATGATTTGCATACTTCCAGGTATAGTCCCAGAAGGGGGATTACTGGGTCATATGGAAAGTCGATTTTTAGATCTTTTAGGAATTGCCACACTTCTTTCCACAGAGGTTATGGAATATCTCATAAGTGTTTAAAGAGATTAAGAGCAGAACAAGTCAGGTCCAGAGTTGAGACTTAATGGGTAAATGCCATGTGGGCAGCTGTTTCCTCTGGAGAGATAGTTCCTTATGCCTTGCTTCCCTCACTTTGCTTTTCCTTTCTATATTCTTCAAGATATAGCTTAAAGGTCAACTCTTCGATGTTCCTCTCTGAACCCTCTTTCTACTGCCCCTTATAGCCAAAGTAAATGCTTATCTTTTTCAGACAGTTCTTACCGCACTCCAGGTTATATTAAAGAAACATTTAGACAGACAATTGTTCTCCCTTGTTTAGTCCATAATTTTCTCAGTGGATTCAGCCCACTTCTTGGTCTGTATGTCTATTTCTTACACAAGAAGGAGTTTCATTGATATGGGTTACATGAACACATTAAATTTGGCACAAAGTTACTCCTTTTAACTCTCTGATATGGCACTTTCATGCCACATGTTCCTTCCCACTGAATCTCTCTGGCTGCTCCTCTGCTTCCATCATCCACATCACAAATCCTTGGAGTGAACAAAAGCTCAGGAACCACAACAGTAACATTCAAGTTTTAGTTTGGAACTGGGGAGAATCTGAAAGATTAGTCTTATGTTCTGGCTATCACAGGATGAAAAATTTAAACTGTGGGATCTATATGGAGGCATTTCTGCTTCACAACCCTGTCATGAAGTGAGTTGATCTTCCCTCTAGTCAAGCCTAGAACTCTGATTTCATTAAATACCTTGACATTCACTAAACTCCTAATGTGTGCCAGGCATTTTACTGAGAGCTAGATTGATAGGGACTAATGAGTCATGACCTCTTCCTTGTAGGAAATCACGGTCTATCAGAGGCAGCAAAGGCCCTCCTTCTCTACACCATATGTACTAAAGAGGAATGCACCGTCTACTGAGGAGGAGTGAGAAGACCACAGAAAGCAACCTGACCAAAGCCTCTGATTCTTAAGAGAGCCTGGAAAAGTGGGAGTGTCCCAGCTCTGGAGGCTGAAAGATCTTGATTGAGTTTTCACTTTGGCCATTTGCTCGTTTTGCAAATTTAGCCAAATTAATTTCTCTCTGGACCTCATGTTAAAGTGGGGGCAATACTTATCCTGCAAGATTGTTGTAAGGCTTAAGTGAGCAAAAATGTAACATATTCACCACAGGGATAAACAGAGAGGGTATTCAATGTACAGTAGCTTCTTTCTACCATTAAACCAAATGTATAACTCTGTATAATATCTTTAAAGATGTTAAGGATCACATGCTGTCTTAGTTTGTTCAGACTGCTGTAACGGTTGGCATATAAACAACAGAAATGTATTTCCTACAGTTCTGGATCCTGGTGATTCCAAGATTGAGGTGCCAACATATTAGGTGTCTGGTAGTGGCTTGTTTCCTTGTTCGTGTATGGCCACCTTCTCACCTTGTCCTCATGTGACAGAAGGGGTAAGGGAGCTCTCTGGGATCTCTTTAATAAGGGCACTAACCCATTCATGAGGGATCCATCCTTATGCTGTAATCATCTCCCAAAGGCTCCACCTCCAAATACCATCACATTGGGGATTAGGTTTCAACATATGAATTTTGGGGGACTATAAATATTCTCTTTTTTGTACCTGCTTTCAAGTCAGTCCCTTCCAGAGGGACTCATACTTGAGAGAAATCTGTTAACTGGCACTGCACTTGGAACTTTCAAATTTGTAAGATATCAAAATAATAATCAAAATAGTTCCTGTTGGTTGAGATTTCACAGACTTCCTGGGACTTCATATACTGTAGTGGACATTGTGATGCTGCACCCAGATCTCTAGTTAGCACCAAGGCTGCCATCAGTGTTGCTGGTTGAGCATTCTCAGTTGACTCCTTCTTGGCCAAATGACCGATTAAAAGGGACCACTTCACTCAAGGCTATGACCCCCCCCCCCAAAGAATAGCCCACTGTCTATGACTGGTTAATGTGAGGGTACAAAGGCCTGACATCCATGTCTTGATTTGGAACACCTCCCAAGCTCCCAGTGAGATCAACTGAAGACTTTGCTGCATTTATATGGCAGTTTGATTTTCTCACTCTGCTCAATCCCACTTGCTCATACTCATATAAGAAATCTGCTTGGTGGCTTGGTGGCTCAGCCTGTAATCCTGCGCCTTTGGGAGGCTGAGGTGAGTGGATTGCCTGAGCCCGTGGGTTCGAGACCCGCCTGGGCAGGCGAGACCTCATCCCTACAATAAATCAAAAAATCAGTCGGGCATGGTAGCACGCGCCTGTAGTTCCAGCTACATGGAAGGCTGAGGCTGAAGGATCGCCGGAGCCCAGCAGGTCGAGGCTGCGGTGGCCGGGAGCGGCCACTGCACTCCAGTCTGGGCGACAGAGTGAGACTCCAACTCAAAAACAAACAAACAAACAAACAAAAGAATATGCCCCCTCCAAACCTTCTACCTTACCAGGATCTGACTTGGAGTCTGTTTTCTGATGATTATGGCCTAAGATAAGTCCATCATCTCATGTAACTTTTTTGTCAACCCTGTGAAGGAGGAATTGTTATCCATGCTTTTCATGTGAGATAACTGAGGGTTTGTTTTCTTGTCCAAGTGTTCAGAATTCATAAGTAACAAACAGAGTGAGGATCTGAACTCTTATCTTGGTGATTCTATTATCTTTATCACTGCACTGTGTAGCTTTCCTGAAGAAGAAGGATTAACCAAACTCAGCCCTGGGACACAATTCAATATCCATCTTTCAGTCTTTAGTGAGAATAAATACAAGAATTATCCATTTAAACAGCATGACTGTGCCTTTTAAAAGAAAAATCTGTAGTTGATACTGATGTTCAGTGCCTTGCTCAAGGACCCATGTGACATGTTTCAGCTTGGGCTTATTTCCAGGGGGCGAAATATGGCTTTGAAGATAGATTTGCATATCTTCTTTTGCCAGAAATTTGTAATATGGAATCCAACACACACCTTCTTTTTTTTTTTTGCTTTAGCTGCCAGAACTTTAGGGCCAATTTCATATGTGGTCATTTCTTTGTCTCAAATATTATGTACTTCTTCTCATAGATGCCTCTTTTATTTGCATCTGAAATTAATGCTGTCCACTGTGCTTTTCCTTAGGGACTCATTGTATAGGGTGATAGAAATAATATTATTTGTGTGAGTTAGAGAAGATAATCATTACTTGTCATGCCCTTACGCTTTACAGGAAAAATTCTCCACCCACAGCCTTAGATGCTCAGGCAGCCAGGTGTGGTCTGATGTGCTCTCGCCTTCCTGGCCATTGCCCATTTGACCACAGCTGGGCACCAAAGCAAAGAGAAGTGCAACCATAAGTCATCGAACTGAGTGTGATGTGACCTGAGAGAGAGGCCTCTGTTGAACTCATATGATGTTTATTAATTGAGTCCCTTTTTGGAGAATTTGAATTGCATACATGAAGAGATATTTTTGGATAATAGTAAAGTAGAGAGAGGCAGAAAAAAAAGAGAAGCTGAATCATGTTAATTATAAAACACAACTTAAAGGCTCCTGCTGCTGACGTCTCTAGAGTTGCCATGAATCTGGACCCCAGTCTTCAAGCCCAGCCTGTTCTGTTTGGATACATATTTTTCCTCCTGTGAAATTCTATCTTTTTTTTTTTTTTGCTTTATTGCTACATACATACACTTATCATTTATAACCATATGCAGCCACCTTGAATGAGCTTCTGTTTCTTGCCTTTCAAAAAAATGTGTGCATACATATGTGTGTTTATGTGCATGTGTGTAGAATATGTATTTTTGTAACTATTATAAATTCATATAACATATATTCATATCCACATATATATAGATTAATGAGGACTATTTCTGAGTAAAGATTGCAAAGATTGGCCCACACGGCACTCAAGAACAGATTTTAGCCATCATTGAAAAATTGGTTGATTACAATAAAAATCTAAATTTTCAGCCTCTCTGGTACCACTGACCTTGGGTTCCATGTGGAAAGACGTGACTGGAGCCACGTCACAGCTGCATCATATTGATGGTGCCTGCAGTGTTCATTGTATCCCAAGCCCCACCTGTACCTATTGCTACCCAACATCAAGGCATTCTTTATGGTGTGGAGCTGCTTTATTCCTTACAGGTGCTGGGGATTTCTTTGGCACTCTCTCCCTGCTTCTACCTCACTCTCCATCTCTTACTCTATCTCTCCGTCTTTCTCAGAACACGAAACAAAACACAACACAAGCTGGATCAGGAGGCCTGGATGTTGTTTTCCTTTACACTCTTTCATTGATAACCTGACCCTTGTGGGCATTAGTGACCCCTATTGAGAGAGGATACTTGGGTGACAGGGGCATTAGCTTTTGGGGGAATTTTTGAAAAGTAATCATTCTTTATTAGAACAAGTCAGGTGCTGGCTAAGTATTTTATTTATATGAATTTGTTTCATTCTCACATCAATTCTATAAGCCAGGTTCTAAAAGTATTCTAATTTACAGAGGAAGTAATCAAGGCCCAGATGCACTGACTTGCCCAGAGTCATGGCTAATGAGGACAGATCCAGGACTGAACTCACTTCCCCCTCAGTCCTAAGGTCTACTCTTCACTACTATGCCGAACTCTCTGGTGTCTGATTCACCTCTGTCTCTATTGGCTTCCAACACCGTGACTGACACATTGTAGATGCACTTTAAAAGCTTGCAGACAAGTGAGATCAGGTGCCTTGGAGGATGTGGCTTGTATAAACCTCTCTGTATCCCTGTAGCCATCAGTGAAACTCCAAAATTGAAGAGAAAGTAGCTTTCTTTCTTTTCACCCACAGGGAGCAGCTTCGTGGTGAGTGAAGGCAGTTACCTGGATATCTCCGACTGGTTAAACCCAGCCAAGCTGTCCCTCTATTACCAGATCAACGCCACCTCCCCCTGGGTGAGGGACCTCTGTGGACAGAGGACAACAGATGCCTGTGAGCAGCTCTGTGACCCAGAAACTGGTAAGCCATGGGGGCTAAGATGGGGATAAAGGGAGGGAGAGTATAAGTTGAAGGAAGGTCTGTGCTCCCTCTACCTGGAGAACCATGGGTCCTGAGCCATTGACAAGAGGCTTGAAATAAAGACCCATCCATTTAATTGATGCTAAACTGTGTGCTGCCATGCCTGTCAAGGGAAGAAATTCTCAGAGAACCTCAGAATCTCAGAGTTAGAAAGGACCACAGAGAACATCTAGTCCAACTCCAGCAAACCAAAATGTCTACATATTAGACATCCCTAAGTTTAGATCTTCTTATTTGCTGGGTGTTCTTTAGCAAGACACTGCCTATCACTGAGTACCAGATAATGAAAATAGAACCTGATTTCCAAGGCTTTTGTTAAGATTAAATAAAATAATATATGGACATTGCATAACATGCATTTATTGAGTAGCCAGGCACATTTTAAAATATTGGAAACACACCAGTGAACAAAATGGGCAAAATCTCCAGCCTAATGAAGCTATATGCTGGGGGGGGGGCAGTCAGACATTAAATCTGTGCTGTTTCATACTGTAGCCATTAGTCACAATTGTCTATTTATTTTAAATGAATGAAAATGAAATAAAATTAAATATTTATTTCCGCAGTCACACTAGCCAGATTTTAAGTGCTCCATAGCCACATGTGACTAGTGACTACCTTCTTGGACAACACAGATATAGTAATAGAACGTTTTCATCACTCTGGAAATTTACATTGGACAGTGCCTCAATAGACAAACAAACTGATAAATATATAGACCCTGTCAGGTGATGACAAATTCTGGTATGGAAGGTAGAAATAAAATACAAAACATTTGGAGTGTTAAGCTGAAAGTTGTCAGTATTTACAGAGTGGCCAGGGAAGTCTTCTCTGAAATGGTGACATTTGAATAGGCACCATAAGATGGGAATGGAAGGGACTACGCCAATATCTTGGGGAAGAGTGGTCCAGGTAGAAAGGACCTCAAGAGTCAGCATTCTGTGGTGGGAGCACACAAATGTGCCCAGCATTAGCAGAGGGACCAGGATGACTGTGGAGAGTGAGAAGAGAGGAGTAGGAGGTAGAATCTAAGAAGCAGAAGGTTTGCAGATGGGGTAGTAGTTCAGGGCCTTGCACAAGATGATTGGACTTTGGATTTTACTCTGAGTGAGATGAAAAGTCACTGGAAGATGGTGAGCAAAGGAGCAACATGATCTGGCCTACATTTTAACAAGATCACTCTGGCTACTGTGTGGTGAACTGGTGGAGGGGATGTTCACCATATCCATGATGCTAATCTAAGGCAAGAGTTGGTAGAACCTCCTATTTCCTTGCTTCTTGGTCCTCTGCTTCTTCTTACAGTTTTTATTGGTCTTTTTTCTCTGGAGCGTCATCTTTTGCTCCATTCACAAGAATCTGGCCAGCTTGCATGGAAAACTCATTACTCAGATACCATGACTGCAGCGTCTGTGCAGAGAGCAGAGATTTGATGTTCTTTGTGGTGGCCCAGGTCGAGGATCTGCTTCCTCTCTCTGAATATTTCCCTCTTCTCAATGGCTTCTGCAGACTAATTCTTGTGTTTCTGGAGGGTAGGGCCAGGACTTGGTTTTATAAGTAACATTCCCTCGTATTCTTTAGTCAAAAACCTGTTTAGACACATTTTTGCACCTTTAAATAAGCCAAGTGGGGAAGCTATTTGGAAGATGCAGTGTAGCTTTTATGCTTCATCTGACCAGCTAAAGTGTCACTTAATAAAGACTTTTAGGCTTTAAGTCACTGTTTCCCTAACCAGTACTCCCTTCCCCCAACACACACACACACACACACACACACACACTCTTAGTTATCCTCACCAACAACCAGATGAGCCCTGTGGAATTATATGTCTCTGCATCTCATCCCTTAATTTATCTTTTTACCTTTTTTTCTTGTAAATGATGTAAGATTATCGGTGGAAAAGAGTAGAAGGGATTCCCTTCCTTGCCTCCGTCTGTGAAACCCAATCTAAGCAAGTGGTGAGTGCCTGTGGGTCTGACCTTCTGGTTTCCCGGCTGATCTGCTTTCAGGTGCAAGTTCGTGTTTTCTGATGATCTTCTTCATTAGCCACAGGCTCAAGGACATATTTCTAAACAGTGAGTCATCCAAGGGGCAGGTGTATGTTAGCCAGTTTGAACAATAAGCAGTTCAGGTCGGGCTCGGTTACTCAGCCTGTGATCCCAGCACTTTGGGAGGCCGAGGTGAGTGGATTGCATGAGTCTGTGGGTTCGAGACCAGCCCAGGTAGCAACAAACAAACAATCAAATAAGCCGGGCATGGTAGCACATGCCTATAGGTCCAGCTACTTGGAAGGCTGAGGTGGAAGAATCACCGGAGCCCAGCAGGTCGATGCTGGGGTGGCTGTGAGCATGCCACTGCACTCCAGCCTAGGTGACCGAGTAAGACTCCAACTCGGAAGGAAGGAAGGAAGGAAGGAAGGAAGGAAGGAAGGAATGGAGGGAGGGAGGGAGGGAGGGAGGGAGAAAGAAAAAGCAATGGCTGTTCCACCAATATCTTCCAGAGTTAAACACACACACAGAGAACTGGAAATGTCACTAGAATCCAGTGGGTCTACAACTGCCTCCTCAAATTTATCACTGATTACAGTGATGCCCAGAGAAGACAGGTAACAGGACCAAGGTCATGCCTCTGGGAGATTGTACAGCCAGGGTGTAAATCCAGGTTCCCATGCTCTCAACCAGTGTTTCTCAAGCCTCAGTAGATCTGGAGTGGACCCTAAGGTTCTGCACTTGTAACAAGCTGTCAGCTATTGCTGATGCTTCTGGCTCAACAAACCTTGTTGCAGCAAGACTCTAAACACTCATTTAATCCTCTCACGGTGAATGACTCAGCTGCCAAATTTGTTAATTTAATTATCTTAGCAAAACCATGTTCACTTCTATATACCTCCACCTGTATTGGCCTTGTGTTCTGGGTTCTAGGTAACCCATCCATCTGCAGTTCCCTGAAGACACCATGCTCTTTCATAAGCTATATCCCCCACCCCCTGTCTTGGAATGTCTTTCTTCTTTTACTGGGAGACAAGGGGCTTATTTTTATTTCCTTCACATTCAACCAAAACACCCTTTCTCCTACGGATGATATTCTTAACCCTCCTTCATCAGCCCTGACCAGATGAAGGGCCCCTCCTCTCTGCTGTCTGGCCGTCTGTGCTTCCATATGACATGGCCCTGTCTCTCTACAGAGTTATTGTTCTTTTCTTGTCTGAATCTATCACCAGACTGTAAACTTTGTTGGGGCGGAGGAGGGAGGTTCAAAATGTCTGTTTCATTCGACTCTTTATCCTTAAACCTCAGCATAATGCCTGACAGATAATTAGCAGATAAAGAATAATGAAAGGAGGAAGGAAGAAGGCAACTTCCCTTCCTACAAACAAATGTATACACCAATTGTAGTTTCTTCCTTCATATCTATTTATTCAATAACTCAGATTAAATATTTTCTGGTTCTAGAAAAATTGAGCCACCAAAAACAGTCCAGCAGCCAATCATCTGAATTCTGGGTTGCTCTAGTCTTATCCTCTCATTCCATAACACCCCCCAGGATCACTCTTCTTAGTAGTACTTACTCTGCTCATACTCATCATGTCCCCAAAACACTCCCATTTCAAGTCTCACCTTCTGACTAGAGTTCATCTCCTGCCTCCCTGAAATACCTTCCTCCCTTTAATCATGTACCTTGCACTATTTTACTCACTTAATTGCCTCTAATTTCCTCTCAATAAAATGTATGCCTTCTCAAGAGTCATCAGAGTTCTCTGTGGACTAAAAGTCATATTTTTTTTTTTTTTTGAGTTGGAGTCTCACTGTCGCCCAGACTGGAGTGAAGTGACCACTCCCGGCCACCGCAGCCTCAACCTGCTGGGCTCCCGCAATCCTTCCGCCTCAGCCTTCCAAGTAGCTGGAACTACAGGCGCGCACTACCACGTCAGGCTAATTTTTTTGATTTATTGTAGAGATGAGGTCTCGCCTGCCCAGGCAGGTCTCAACCCGTGGGCTCAGGCAATCCACTCACCTCAGCCTCCCAAATGCACGGGATTACAGGCTGAGCCACCGAGCCCGGCTAAAAGTCATATTAAAACTTGAGCTATTATTTGAAAATGTGTCTCTCTTGCTAGAATGTAAGTTCCTTAAGGTCAGGGACTGCATCTAGTTTATCTCTTTATCCTTTCAACACCAGTGTCCAGCAAAGCACCTTGCTCTTATAATGCCACTCAAGGCATAAATCAAGGGACTATCTACAGGTGCGAAGTGGAAATGGGAATATAAGATTCCTGAATATGTTTTCATGGGACTTAACTCAGGCCCACTTTGAAATTTTAGTTCAATTCATTAGATTCAATTCAAACGATATTTTCTTAATTCCACAACTCATAAGTCTCTGTGTTAAGTGCTATGGGAAATAACAGACAAATTGCACAATGTTCTTGCCTTCATGGATTTTACTTCTCATGGGTATAAAAAGAATCTGTTCATATATAGCTATTGTAAAAAATACAGTGTGGTTTAAATCAAGAACCATGCATTAACAAAGTGCCTCATGCCTGCAGAACAAGGAGAAATGTATTCTAGATAGGGTCTTCAGGAGATACATCATGGAGATGACCTTTTAGCTGAAACTTGTAGATTCAGTAGGGAATATGAGTAGGAAGGTGCTTTAGCAAATGGAACTTGATTTCTTTAAAAAGGAAGAGAGTTCAGAATGATTGTAGGAACCATAGAGCAGGGTAGTTGGGCTGGCATCTGGAGAATGTGGCGGCAGAGAACTGGGAGTGTGTTAGGGAATTAGTTGGAAAGGTAACATGGAAAGAACCCATTAAAAGGGAAGGATTCAAAGACCCTGAGAACTAACAAGGGATTTTGCAAGGAATACAGTCTTCTAAAAGAGAGAAACTTCCTTCCACATCTGTCTAACTTTTTTGAGGGAACATCTAATCCCCTGAG